AGAAAAATAAACTAAATGAAAGGAAAGGATCTCCAAAGTTAAATAGTGACTCGGTATATATAAAGTCAAGTACTTTAATGTACTTTTTTATATATTGACAGAATTCGAACATTTGTCTTTTTCAAAATTGATTAAGTTCAATGAGTGGTATATATAGACCATTAAATTTATCATATTATAATTTTGGAGAGTAAATTGCAGTTCCGAGCTTCTGCATTTAGCTTAATAAACAAGAACAATTCTACGGATCTTCCATTTCAAGATTCACTTTTTGTTTTCTATACTTTATTATTTACCATCCTTTTTCCGTTTTCCACATTAAGCATTCTTTTATTTTATTGTCATTACTTTACATAGAACTCTTAAACTAGCGGTCTTGAACACACTTTGTCAAGTCACAACCGTCTCAATTAGTCTTTCAAATCAGCCAATTCAGAAAAATAATTAGGTTGGAAATTCCCAATTGAACAAAATTGTTTGACAGTATGTACAATAGTGTAATAAAATATAAACAATGGTTATACGTACCCACAAGGTCTAGCACATGCATGCTATGTAATATACAGTGGTACTGACTCCATACGCTTAAAACTAGATATTAAGTATTGTGAAATGAAATGATACATCTTCGATATCATACTTCGTTATGTGAACACAAAATATGTGGCCTAGAGGATTCCAATACACTAAAACAAAAAGTGATAGGCTGCTCTTTATCTAGGAATGTCTGACCATAAAACTTGTGGCATGAAAAAATATTCTTTGGAAATTATACGGAGAAGAGATCATTCTCCGAATTAAACCTCAGTCTTATTTACAACGCAGTAGCATTGTACTGTGGAATATGCTTGTTTCCAGGATTGTATAAATAGAAACATTGAATTTGCAGATTACGATTGTGGAGAGATGAGATGTATCAAAGGTGAAGATGCATTACAGGGCAAGATCTCTATTGGCAGGAAACCATTACTTGACCTTTGCATCTCTTTATGCATTGCTTTGTAGTGAGTTCTCTGCCAAAGGAGATTTGCCCGGTAATTCTTCTGTGCCAATATTTCAAAATATAGTTACATGTGATTGATCGTAAGAGAAAGTTTAGAAAATCTATAAATAAGAAAATCCAATTTTTCTTCTTTTCATACGGGATTTAATTGATGTTCATGCTTGGGGAAGGTGAGACACACGTTATAAAAGAAAAATATTAGGCTAAAGTTATAGCATGTCTTTGTATAGAAGGATCTAGAAGATCCATATGATCAAAGAAGATATTGTGAATATATTTCTAATAATTATATCATTTATGTATTTGTATAAATTAGGAAACTATGTTAATTATGTTTAATAGTCTCTTCTCTATATAAACACATGTATTATAACCTTTATCATTATGAGAGTAAATATAATTCTTTCCATCTAATATCTCATCTTCTCTAATGTGGTATTAGAGATCAAAGAAGATATTGTGAATATATTTCTAATAATTATATCATTTATGTATTTGTGTAAATTAGGAAACTATGTTAATTATGGTTAATAGTCTCTTCTCTATATAAACACATGTATTATAACCTTTATCATTATGAGAGTAAATATAATTCTTTCCATCTAATATCTCATCATCTCTAATACTTTGTTTTCAGAATCGTATGTATTTTGACTTTTTTGCTTATCACTTGTTTCATTAATTCTGATTATTTAGCTGTTAATAGAGGACGAAAGTCTTTAACATCAACTTATCTAGGGTTTATTTCGATATGATGATAAGAGTTAACTGAATAGTGTTTTTTTTTGGTTTTTTGCTGCTCATATTGTATATTTAGCTGTCAATCAAACATGAAAGTCTTAATCTAACTTCCCTTAGCCGAATTATCCAATTCATCGACAAGCAAGTAAGAAATCAAGTAGTCTCAATCCGCAGAACAGGTGACAGGAGATATGAGGAAGGTCTACAAGCTTGGTTTGCCATATCTGGAAAAAGTTTTAAAAATGTTTTGTATCTACTACTTATTCAAAAACTCAAAACAAAGAAGCATATGACGTAAAAAAACAAATATTTGAATTAGTTTTACATATAATTAAAAAACAAAATGCTTTTGAGTGAAAATTTATTGTTTCCTATGTTTTCTTAACATCAGTGTTTCATAAAATAAGATAGGAACAAGAAAACTGGGGATTGTTGGCTAGTCTCCTCTGCCTTACCAGCTTGCTTAAATCCCAGACTTGAGACTTTCTCTCCTCTTTCTCATATGTTGTTGAATGTCTGCTAAATCTTTTCTGTAATCTTATAAACTATGTAAAAACACAGTATAACTTTAAAGTCTGACTCTTGTAATCTGTTTTATTTGATTTGAAATCTTTTTAGAGAAAAAAAAACAAGAAAAATGGGTTACCACCACTAAAGATTATAATCTTTAGTGGTGGTAACCCATTTTTTTTTTATGCGAACTGTATAATACAAAAGGTGATAATAAAATAAGATCTCATTTGAGATTGGAAGCTACACAAGGAGCCCACCATTTAAGACTGTCCTTCATGTTCATCTCACCACATAACTTAGCCATTCTAAAATCTATGACCATTGAATCTTTCTCTCTGCGTGCTCCCCGTTTATCACACTGATATTCCCATGCCTCCGACAAATATGGTCTAGGAACCAACGACTCTGTCTTACTATATTCTTCCCGGCAGAGAAATGTCCTCAAGCCGGGAAGAATCTCCGGCAACTCCGAATTCAAGTCTTCTTCTGTGAAAACAAAACCTAAATCCATAAACCCTTTCGTCTCCTCAGCTTCTAAATCAGACACAC